TTTTTTTTTTTTTTTTTTTTTTTCTATTGTCCCTGCGAAACTTTCAATTCTCTTTGCAGATAAAGAATTTCAGCTACCTAAGCGTCAAACGAACTAGACGCGAGTTTCTGGAGACTTTGGAAGGCACGTTCCACCACATCGCCGATATATTAGTGAATTTTGGAAACGAGACCTACAGCGACAGGATGGACGAATGTTTCTACAGATTCGTCGGACGTCCCGCTTATTCCAGACCAGGACTGTAAGCACCCGAGATACATCTCCCTCGTCTCCCAGATTAATTAGAGCGGTTTATTTTGAAAATGGCTCAAGTCCATTTATCTTTAAATCAAGATATTTGCATTTTGATAAATTTAAGAATGTTGGTAATTGACAACATGGCAGTCTAATGTTTTCTTGTGTCTAAGGGTGTATAATTTAACAACCCAATTAGTATGATAAACATTGTTTAGAAAATATAACACGTTCTTGATGGCTACAAATGGACTTAACGAATGAAATAACTTTTTCAATTTTTTAATCTCTAATGCACAAGTCCCTTGAAACAAATCAAATTTTGTGTTATACAGTTGAAAAATATCCAATTTTTATTCACTGTTAAAGAAACGTTACGTTCAAGTAATATTTCGTAATTTATAATTCGTTCTTCCCCAATTTGCGCATGTGGGAGGGATTTAAAATAATTATGGTGTACAGTGTAATAATTATATCGTTGCATTCTAGTGTTGCAACTGGTCTTACATTTTTGTACAGTGGTGTCAATTCAATATTATTAAAGTTTCTTGGTCTCATCCAGAGTTTTGAACAATGCTCATTTGATGTTGATGTTTTATAGAACATTTTACGTGGTTCAGTTCTCAAAAATCGCATCCAACATGTTTTTAACCAATTCACTCTTTCTCCATTGGTATTTTTTAACCTTTTACAAACGTCCTCTAGAGATTTAATTAGAAACGAAATCCTCTACATTTTATGTAATTATTATTATTTAAAAAATCACTATCTGAGCTAATCGTACGCAACTACTTTAATAATAAAAAAAATATAGCTCTTATCTCATAAAATTTTGCCGCATCATATACCTCTGAAAATGGGACTTATGCCACTTTGAAAATAAAAATCTTCGTCATTCCATTAGCCAGCTAACTTTCTGTGTACAATTTGTTTAAAAAGCGAAGAGAAATGTAAACATTGAAACAGCTAGCTTGATTTTTTTGGAAAACGAACTTAAGTCATGTCCAAAATCAGTTTGAAATTCTGAAAATGGGACTTATGCCACTTTGAAAATAAAAATCTTCATCATTCCATTAGCCAGCTAACTTTCTGTGTACAAAATCTCAGTGACTTTAAATATAGTACTTACAATTTATTTAAAAAGCGAAGAGATAACGTAGAAATGTAAACATTGAAACAGCTAGCTTGATTTTTTTGGAAAACGGACTTAGGTCATGTCCAAAATCAGTTTGAAACTCTGAAAATGGGACTTATGCCACTTTGAAAAATAAAAATCTTCATCATTCCATTAGCCGGCTAACTTTCTGTGTACAAAATCTCGGTGACTTTAAATATAGTACTTACAATTTGTTTAAAAAGCGAAGAGATAACGTAGAAATGTAAACATTGAAACTAGCTTGATTTTTTTGGTAAACGGACTTAGGTCATGTCCAAAATAAACGGCTCTAAACGAAATTACGTGACGATAAAAGTAAGTTGCATTCGTAAGGTACGTGACCATGGTCCTCGGGATGTTGGACGCGCTGCAGAAGAACGTGTTCATCGTGGAGACGAGTCGAAATCACAAGAACATCGACGCGTTGTCCAGGATAGCGGAGAAATACGTCCCGATCTGGAAGCCGCTGCGCGACGTCGTGAAGACGTCGCACATCGATCACGTGGAGGCGTTCTTGCCAGGGGCGATGATTAATGTGAACGCGTTGTTGAACGACAGAAACAACTCTCTTTGCAAGACAAAGCCGGAATGCCGGAACGGGACGATTCTGTACAATTACCTGAGCTCGAAGAGAGCGGGAAAAGCGTTCCAGTACGATCCGAAAGCGTTGTCGAGCTATCGTTCGTTGACGGAGATCGCCGATCGATTGTCCGAGAGTCTGGATCTGGATCGGATCGATCGCGAGCTGAAGCAGTGGCGTATGGACGCCGCGTGGAACTTAACGTGGCTGAAGGAGATCCTGAGGCACTTGTCCGTCGTTATCGAGGAGAGCGGCAATCTGCTCGACGTCGCCAGTAAAATAGACTTCGAGGACGTCTCGAATGTCCTGGAAGTTCCTGATATCGTCGACGGAGTGGTTAATATCCTGAAGGATAAGACGGTGGACAAGCTTTTCGACGGGTAAGAATGTCTTGATCGCATCTTGGCGAGATTAGAAGCGGCGAGTGATCGAGTGACCGAGTGAGGTCGCGCGAATGCTTGTCCCTTCTTACAAGTAGTTGTTTTTCTTTCATCCGACACTTTATATTTATCTATATATATGTGTGTATGTGTGTGTATATATATATAAAGATCTTGTTCTTATTTTGTAGAATGAAGGAATTAGCTGAAGACATTAAGCCGTTCGTTGAGGATCAATACGTGCTGGACGATATCCATCGAATAATCGCGACGCTACAGTCGATGGATATCTTCAAGAATTTAGGATTGCTCGACATGAAATGTACGACTTCTCACCTTTTGGCCTGTTTCATATCGAGAAAGAAATATATACCGCGACGTTTGCGATTCGACGGTGGCCCGACACGATATTTTTATTTCCAGACGTTATCAGAGATATGTTCGACAACTGGGACGTGGTGAGATCGTACCTGGTGGATAAGATCGGAATTTCCAACGACGCCGCGTTGACGCTGAGCCAGGCCAAGATCGACATGATTCCCGTTTTCATGAAAGAAAGAAGAGCTCTCAGCTTGAGGGAGATCATTTGCTCGCCGGCGAAACTCGGCGACATGTTGAATTTCAACGGCGGTCGAACCACCCCCGAGGAAATCAGTTCCACTGTTTGTCAGCTCGACGACTCGCAAACGCGGGACGTGGCGATAATGTTGATCAAGAATTTAAATTTCGATTACA